CTTCGTTGGTGTTGACTTGTGCAGGTGTAACGTAACCGTTGTCGGCGAAGTGATAATAGGCTTCGTCGTTGACGCTGTCGCGAGGGTTGTCGTAGTCGTCCATCGGGATATCAACGGAGCAGTAAGGGAGAGGTCCGGCTTCCTCCGAGGCTCCTTCCACGTTCTGCTCGTCCCAGTCAGCTTCGTCTTCTGCCGAGGCGAAGGCTCGGTTCCCAAGAAATCCGCCCGAGAGGTCAGGTCTGTTTTCTTCGACGTACATGAGGTGAGTTCCGAGGGTGAGGTTCTCGTAGAAGATGACATCACGTGCTGCTACTGTTTCCTTGCTGTTGATGTCGAAAATTTTCCATGCGTTGTAATGCTTTTCAATGCCCGGGTGTAGCCCCCACTGTGCACGTTAAGAGAATCGTCCAGCTCGTGCAGATGGAGGTCGGTACTGTACCATGCAGCCGAAAACTCTCAACATTTTTGTGCTGCCCAATTTTCCTGTCCACAGCAGATGCGGTGATGCGTTGTTCGGGAGCGATGATGACGAAAGCAAGTTGTGCAGCATCACGGCGTGGTCCATTGCTTCGGGCCACTGGTGGTTGGGCAGATGCATGCCACGTAGCAGCTTGCGCATGGTGGCTTGGAGCGTCCTGTTCATCCGTTCTGCTACACCTTGCTGTTGGTGGGCGTAGGGTAGAGAGATGAGTCGTTTGATGCCTCTTTCTGCCAAGTACTGCTTGAACCTCTGTGAGGTGTATTCTCCTCCCCCGTCTGACTGAAAGCTCTTTAGCTTGACGCCCGATTCTCTTTCTGCTACGGGAAGCCACGCGACGAAGGCTTCGAAGGCCATGTCCCTGCTCGGAAGGTTGAGATGCCACACATATCGTGTCGCGGCGTCGATGAACGTGATGGTGTAACTGTAGGCGTTTTGTCCGGGTTCACGGTTGTATAATATGTCGCTGTACACCTTTTCCAGAGGTGTGTACGCTGGTGCACTTGGATTGTGATGCGAGACGATCGGCTGGTGCGGTAAGTCAGCTTCAGGGCAGGTGAAGCACGTTCCACGGGCTCGTTGAAGTTCTCTGCCGTCGGTCAGTAGGAGTGAATCTTTGTCGAGCACTCCTGCTCTTATCGTGTTGTTTAACACTGTGTTGCTTGGATGTCCCATTCTTGCGTGCCAGGTTCCTTCAGTGGCGCGATGTCCGGGTGATCGTCGATACAGATCGGAGTTGGAGTAGAAGCCGGCGGTGACGTTGGTGCTTCGGTGGACTTCACGTGGTGCCAGGTTTAACTGCTGTGCGGGTGTCGGTGGCGAATCGTCGATGAAGATTGGTGCCGTTGAAGGACCAGCGATTGGTGTCGATGTTGCCGCTGCTGCTGTCGTTGTCTCTGCTGTTGTCGATGTTGCTTCTGCTGCTGCTGATGTTGTTGCTGCTGCTGCTGCTGCCGATGTTGCTTCTGCTGCTGCTGATGTTGTTGCTGCTGCTGCCGATGTTTGTTGAATTGTTGCTAACGCCCTTGTTCGTTCTGTTTCAGGTATCGTGTGAGAATGCCAGAAGCCGCCGGGACTGAAGTCTGGATCCAGATCAGGTGGATGTGTCCAGTTGGTGAAGTTAACGATGGCGTCGCTGTCGGCGGTGACGAGATCAGGAACAAAATCAAGAACGAGGACGTTATTTTTCAAGACCGCCTTTCCGATGTAAAGGCCTCCTCTCCCGTGGTACAGCTTGAATTCTTGGGTGGTGCTGTCTGCTTCGAGATGGATGCCCTTCGCCATCAGCTGGCTGACGCTGAGTAAGTTGTATCCAAGTCCCTCTGCTATCAAAACCTTCGACATCTGTAGTATTACGTTTGTTTCTCGTGATTGAAGTTGGACTACGCCTTGTCGTCGTGTGCGCAGGTTCTGGTTGTTGGCGATTGTGATGACGACTTCTCGCTGAAGTTGGTATTCCCTTTGAACGAACCGACCCGAGGAGCACATGTGTTGTCCGCAGCAGCTGTCCAAGAACCATGTGTCTTTTCCGGATGGCTCGCTTTGAGCGATAGATGCGTACGTTGGATTCGGTTGAAGTGACTCGCGGCGGGGCGTACTGTTGTCGAGCTGTTCTTCCGGTGAGTAATGTGGCGGTGATTCAGTGACGCAGGAGTCGGTCAATCTTGCCATGCAACTGACGATGTTTCTTGCTCCTTGTGCAGGTTGTCCCGTTGATGTCGCTGAAACTTGAATCTGGGTCGTGGGATTCGCTTGCGTTGAAGTAACTTGGCTGCTTGAAGGTCGAAGTTGCCGCTGTGGTGGTGTTGACTGTTGTCGATTCGGGCAGTGCGTGCGCGGGTGCCCTGACGTCTTGCAGATGTGGCAGAACGGAGGTATGAGTTTCGGTTGTTGTCGGTTGCTGTTGTTGTTGTAGCGTTGCTGAGTGTGAAAGGCGAATTCCGGTGCTGATGTCTTCCTTTTGTGTCTCTCTTCTTACAGGTCCATGTCTTGCTGCTCGGCGTGGATTTCGGCGCAGAGCGC